CAGGCGGCAGGCGGGAATCGAACTCATGCGGAAGTGGCTTCAGATTCTCAGTGCTGTGCTTTAACCCGCTGCGCCACCAGGGAGGGCCAATCTGTTAAATTTTTTAGAGACCTATTGTTCACTAGGTTAGTCAGGAGGCCTGACATTTTTTGTAAGATTGTAAGATTGAAACTTGACTGCCTTCCCATTGTGACCTAAGGCCTTGTTTAACATTTGCTCACTTGCTATGAGGTGCACAAAATTATTTTCCTGATTCCAGCTAGTGTGAATTTTTTGTCCTCTCCCAAATATAGCCATGCTAGCTTTCTTTTTGCATAGTATTCCCGCCACTAATGATTTCTAGTCCTCTTTGTTCTTTTCTTCTGTCACACCCTGTGTATTGTTCAGTCCAATATTACAATATACGAGTACTTTCCTGCCTCATAAAAATAAAATTTGTACTTCTGCTGTTTTGTAGAACTTCTTTTTGGCTGTGTATGATGGCACTCAATTTATTCCCCTTTTATTTGTAGAATTCTCTTGTAAGTATTTCAAGTTGAAGCTCCATCCTACTTGTGGTGTTAGCCCTCTAAGCATTCATTGCAGGTTATGCTAAAATACTTCTGCAGGGAAGCTTTTTTAGATTCAGAGATTTGTTGAGGTTCAGCTTCTTTTGTTCAGATGTCTCAAAAAAATCTAGGAAAAAAGGCTTCCCCTTTCCTTCCTTGTACTACCCTCAACTTCGCTGCAGTCACTTACTCCCATCAGCAATTAGGTGGTTCTCCTCAGAGTTAGACTGCTATCATCTCTGTCCTCATGTGGCTTCACCTGAATTTATTTTTCTTTGAGTCTTTCTTTACTCTCTTTTAAAAGTACACTACCTGACCTTTTATGTTCTTTCTTTGTAAACCTGTAGTTCAGACTTTATTTTAAACCTGAGTGGAATGGGGTTGGGGAAATAAACTGACATAAGAATGGGTATTGCTGCCTTTTCTCAAGATTTTCCCCTCAAAGCACTTAAGCTATACACAGAGAAGTTAAAGGAAGTGAAGACTAGACAGTACTATTGGGTTTGTCAACTAAGCTATCATTAGTGATTTCTATCGGACAGATTCAGAGGATGAAAACCAGACCGTAAGGAGAGAATAGTTGTTAAGAAAACAGAAAGAGCAGCTTTAGGTTACTTAAAGTCTCTCTTTAGACTTGAAGAGGTTAATTTGAGTGATGATGTTTGCAAAAATAAGGGGAAAAAAATTCTAGCAAGAGATCATCTAAAATTTTGCTTTTGGGAAATTTTAGTCGTCAATAGTAGAGCAGCAAAGAACTCAAGAGTGTCGTCTTTGAATTCCCCCCTGGGGCTTTTACTTAACTTCTCTATACCACCATCTACTAATCTTTAATGTGAGTATATTACTTATTTCATAATGTTTTTGACAATCAATTGAGTTAATATATAGAACAATTAGAATACTGCCTAATACATTTTAAGTCTTTAATAAGTGTTACATATCATCCTTACATATTCTTAATATCTTACATTCTTCTGATAATTCTTTCCCTTAAGGTTAAACGACAATGAAATCGAACGGCAGCATTTTAAGGACCAAGATATGTATTCTGATAAATCTGATAAGGAAAATGATCAAGAGCATGATGAGTCTGACAATGAGGTAATGGGGAAAAGTGAAGAAAGTGACACAGATACATCAGAGAGGCAAGATGACTCCTATATTGAACCTGAGCCAGTTGAGCCTTTAAAGGAGACTACCTACACCGAAGAGAGCCATGAAGAACTTGGGGAGGTAAAAGTCTCTTATATTCAGATACTATGATATCCTTAATTTTTTTTAACTTTTCTATTTTATTTTTATTTTAGTTAAGTAATTTTTGAATTGAAATAACACAGGATTACAATATGATTCTGTGGTACAAATTCATATCCTTTCAGATATATGACATAAATTAGCATTTGTAAACATCTGAATATATATATTCACACAATAAGCAAATTAAAATTTACATTTCTTCAGATTTGCCTTTGAAATAGAATACTTACTACCTAATGTCATTACTAAGAACAAAATAAATTGCAAGGAAATATGAGTCTAGTTATTGCTAGCACATAGAAGTAAAGATAGTACAAGAGTAATGTTTCTGTTATTGATTCTTTGTATATATTATTCCATTTTGATATCTTTTGCAGCTATCCTTTTTATCTAAATTTTGTAACTATAGCCTTTGTTACCTAGTGGGTTATTTCTGCATTTTAATAATGCTTTCTATAATAGTCCTATGGAAATTTTCAACATTACCTGTTCTTTCTACATATCTGCATAGCTGAAATAAATATAATATTTCAGTGTTCTTGTTAATTACTAAAGGCAGGTGAAGCTTCTCAAACAGAAACTGTTTCTGAAGAAAACAAAAGCCTTATCTGGACACTGCTGAAACAAGTTCGTCCTGGCATGGACCTGTCCAGAGTAGTTCTGCCAACATTTATTTTGGAACCTCGTTCTTTTCTGGATAAACTTTCAGATTACTACTATCATGCAGATTTCTTGTCTGAGTAAGTAAGATTCTCATTTCTTAACCTAGAAGATAATTTATGGTATTTTCCTCCAAGTTCAATAGCACTCATTAGTAATGGTGGGTCCGTTTTGATTAATGTCAGCAAGAATAGACTCAATCCAGGAAACCTGGCCCTTCCAGAGCATGTGAGGCTGAAGAACTCTTAACGAAATTATTAACACGGCCACTTGCCACTGCCTCATCGTAAATGCCATTACATGAATCTCAAAATCCATTTTTTTTTCTATTACAATTTCTCACAGAAATCCTAACAACATCTACAGTTATCTAGAACCCTAGTTGAAAATCTTGGTTTGGAGCATTTTCAAGAACTGGGTACAGACTTCTGTTTTTTTCTATATCAAAAAATAGAAAAAATTGGGTGGGAAGGAGGGAGAGATTATGAAAAATGATTCTTACAGACTTCTTTACATGAGTTTGTACCTCATACTGATTTTTTGGTTTGATAAATAATGATGGAGAATTTGTGAAAAAAAAATTTTTAGTTTTATTAAGAACTAATTGACATAACACTGTATTAATTTAATGCATACAGTATGATTATTTGATTTACGTAGGTTGTGAAATGATTAACTTAGTAGGTTCATCTAACATCATTGTTTTCATAAATAAATAAAAACAAAAAGAAGAGAAAAATTTTCTCCTGTGATAAGAACTCTTAAGAATTTTTTCTCTTAACACTTTTCCTATATGCATACAACAGTGTTACTGAGACTCTTCACACTATTTTCCGTAGTGATTGCAACCAGTTTACAACCCAGCCAACAGTGCGTAAAAACTCCCTTTTGTCCATATCAATGCACCAGCATTGTTATTACCTCTGTTGTTTTTGATGGTGATCATTCCAAGAGGCAAGAGGTGATGTCCATATCAATGCACCAGCATTGTTATTACCTCTGTTGTTTTTGATGGTGATCATTCCAAGAGGCAAGAGGTGATAGCTTATTGTGGCTTTTTTTTTTTTTTAAGCAAATGTTATTATTCTTAAATGTATAGCAGGCTAGAAGGTACTTCACTCTAGCTATTGGTGACAACATTTGTTATTGACAGGAAATCCAGGTGATGAAACAGGGATGAAATTAAAGATTACCATTGCCTTAGGCACAGGGACAACCTGCTTTTGCCAGATTTCTTTTTTATATATATAATATAATAGTTTATTTTTACATCATTTTGTCAGATTTCTTAGTTTCATTGTGGCACAGGAGTCCTTTCTCTGTGACCCTGCTTTTAACTCTGTGAATTTCTTTTGCTCTTCCATCTGTTTCTGCTTAAATGCCTCATCTACCTCTCCCATCTTGTGAGCCTGCTTCTTGCCATCTTAGCTGGCTGGACACAGGTCCTGCCATTCCTTCTCCCAGTTAAGTGTGGTTTTAATTTGTATTAAAACCTTTGTAACTAATGTAAAATTTTGGTGTTCATTTTAATTTTTAGGGCTGCACTTGAAGAAAATCCTTATTTCCGTTTGAAGAAAGTAGTGAAATGGTATTTGTCAGGATTTTATAAAAAGCCAAAGGTAATATACATTTTATTTTCTTTAGTCCTGTATGATTTCTTTAGTTTTTGTTATCTTTAGATTTTTTTTATTAATAATTGCATTTCAGGACTTCTTTGAGTTAGCAGAATTTCAAAATAATTGATCACTTAAACATATTATGATTGAAGTAATTTCATGTCACTATTGTGGAATTTTGTGTGATGGTTAGATAGATGATAGAGTTAAATCCATTTTGACTCATTTAAACTATCTTAACTCACATTTTATAATTTGAAATTTGTATGTTTTTTGCTAGGGACTAAAGAAACCTTACAATCCTATACTTGGTGAAACTTTCCGTTGCTTATGGATTCATCCCAGAACAAACAGCAAAACCTTTTATATTGCCGAACAGGTACTAGACATGCATGATACAGAAACAAGACATATATGGAAGTATTGGGATTTTTTTTATAGAATTATTAACTCACAAAACTCACTGTTGCTTAACCTTTCTTATTAGTGAACATTTGGTAAGCATTTAACATTTGAGTATAGAATACTGTTAAAATGTCATAGAATCCTATGTTTAAAAATAAATCTTTATTTTCTTCCCTCCACACTTTTGTTTTTGACCAAACTCTTATTTCTAGAACACCTTTTGATTATGCTTAATATTCTTCAGTGAGTCTCAAGTTCCTAAATAATATTTATATTTGTCATTCAAGTTCTTCTGTATCTTTGTAAATGTCTCTCAGATTACATGTCTGTCTGAACTCTCCACATTGGTCCTACTTGTGCAGTCACAATTAGGTAAAATAGTATTATAATATTTTGTCTCATTATTTTTTATTATTTATTATTTATTTTATTATTTATTATTATTATTTATTATTTATTATTATTTATTTATTATAGTTTACTTTTACATCATTTTGTACACTTTTTGTTTTTATCTCAATTGTAATCCCTGTGGGCTTCCCATCACCAAATCACCCGTGTGCCATCGCCATTGCCTCATTATTTTTAAAATAAATTATTTTTCCTACATTCCCCTAGCCCCTAGTATTTCTTCTCAATTATTCTCATATGAACAAACCCCGAACTGTTTATCTTAAATGACCCAGGTGACTTCAACTCCCAGTGATTTCTCCCTTCTCTAATTTCTATATTATTAATTATCCCTGTATTTGTAATTATCTATGATGCAGTTATTTTAACATTTGTATTGTTTTAGCTTTTTACAGCATACTTACTTCCCTAATTGAATTATTGGCTCCTTCCAGTTACCCTTCATGACATATCTTTTTGTTGTACACATTGAAGGCAATCAGAAAATATTTTTTAACTTGAAAATATTCATTCATTTAAACTTAGATACATGTGCATTCATGATTCTCAATCTTCCCTCTTCCTAAGCTGAGGAAAATGTTGTCTTTCAGTAAAGTGACTCCTTGAAAGTGAGGGTGATGAAAATAAATACCATGTGTCATTTGAAAAATCTTCCCCCTGGAGATTTTAACACATAGATTTCATCAGATTCAAATCACTATCTGTAAATTTTTTAAAGTTGATGATTATACCACCTTATATTCTAACTTGCTGTAATTCTTCACTAAATTCAGAGCTTTGAGAGGAGTTCAATTGATTTTATCTTTATCTCACTTCAGAAAACATAAGATGTCTAAGTTGAAATATTAGATTATTAAGTTAACATATTTGTCAAAGCTTTTGTTAGTTTTCTACAACTTATCCAAAGTACATAAGAATAATCACTGTATTAGTTATCCATTGCTATATACACAAATTACTCCCAAAACTTAGTGACTAAAAAAGAACATTACCACATACAACAAGGTTCAGAAATCAGGGATTGCTTGACTGAGTGTTTTTTGGCTTAGGGCCACTCAGGAAGTTTTAATCATGATGTTGTCCAGTTTTTGCAGTTATCTAAAGATTTACCTGACGATTCTACCTCCAAACTCATTACTGGGCTTTTGGGAAGAGGTTTCAGCCCTCACTTGATGTAGTTGTTCACATTATGGAATCTAACATATCACAGATAATGATATGAGAGAAAGAGAGAGACATCAAGATAGAGGCAGTGTTACAACCTCATCTCAGAAGTCACATGCTGTCACTTCCACACAAACCTTTTTTGATACAGTGTGAAAGGATCTAACAGTGTGATTACCTAGATTTGAGTTTCTTTTGGAGACATTTTAGAAGCTGGTTATTATTGCAACCATTATTTTACAGCCATTACATTTTTCTATTTATTAAGTATTTCTCCCATTCATTTTTAGAGTAAATTTTTAAGACTTGAACTTTTGATAAAAATACAGTATGAAACTTACTGTATTATGTTTTCATCTTTTCCTGTGCTCAATAGGTGTCCCATCATCCACCAATATCTGCCTTTTATGTTAGTAACCGAAAGGATGGATTTTGCCTTAGTGGTAGTATCTTGGCTAAGTCCAAGTTCTATGGTAAGTTTCCCCTTGTTTCAATTTGTACTCTTTTCCGGCAAGTAAATAGTAATTTTGTGGTGAGCTTTTGTTTAGACAGTATCTTGTACTGTTTTCAGCAAAGAATTTGCATCACTTTTAGTATAATCTTTACTTGGATAGTGACTTTTATAATGTTTTTCTTTTCCCCATTCATAGAGGCATGACTCACTTTTGGTATTTTTGTATATGTATAAATTCATCAGAAACACCACTTACAAAATAGAGAATAATGCCCACCCACCAGAGCTTCCCCCTTTTATTTTTGCATAATGTATTTCTTTTGCCATTAGCCCCTCCATCTCAGTGTAAAAAAGGAATCTACATATTTTTAGAGAGAAGCCAGCCAGATACAATTAGAATACATACAATCAATAATGAAATTTAACCTTGGACCAAAATGGAAAAAGAAAAAAAATTTAGAACTTTTCATAAAAGCATACAAGTGTAAGGGAGAGAAAGTAAATAGTTACTATGTCACAGTTCAAACAAATGGTAAAGTTTATACCTTAATAATTTCATTTGATTTAATAAGCTTTTAAATGGAGAGAAAGTAACAAGTTAAATTTCAACTAAAGAATTTTAAGCTTGAAAGGAGTAATTTATGTAAATTATATAAAATGTGAGGGTATAGAGGACCATAAGTAATTCTTTAACAAGAAAACTATGGCTTAGTATCATTCATAAATATACATGCAAAATCCTTATCAAATTAGTAATAGATCAATGTATATGTATAGGGGTAACACTCACAAAAGGGTATGTTGTGATCAATATTTCGAATAATATGTCATGATTAAGTGGAGATTATCTTATCAAAGTTGATATATTATGTGAAAATCATTCCATATAATTCACATTAATGGAATAACAAAAGCAGGAAATTTTTTGAGACTATAGAAAAAGCTAGAAGTAATAAGTGAATTTAGTAAGGTTGCAAGATACAAGGTCAAAATACAAAAATTAATTCTACTTCTATACAATAGAAATGAATACTTACAAATAAAATTTAAAAACAACTTTGATTACAATAGTACCTGAAATACAAAATAATTAGGAATAAATTAAATGAAAGATATGTGAGACCCTGTATACTGAAAACTACACTACATTGCTGAGGAAAATTAACAGATAGAAGAAGTAAATGGAGAATGCACTATGCTCACTATATTATTTAATATTGTTAAAATGGCATATCTTCCAAATTGAGGTAAAGATTCAGTGCACTTTACAATAGGTAAACTATGGAAACAACCCAGTTGCCCACAAATATATGACTGGATCAGATGTGGTAGTGTGGCACAATGGGATATTACTCAGCAACCAAAAAAGATAAACTCATGCCATTCACAGCAACATGGATGGAGTTGGAAGGCATCCTGCTCAGGAAATAAGCCAAAAAGAAAAAGAAAAATACCAATGGTCTCACTTATAGGAGGATTGTAGAGGGCCTAAATAAGGGATCGAGGAAACAGTAATTATGACAAAGTAAAAATCAAAATCAACAGGCAACTATAATCCAGAGACATTCTTTGGGGGTGTAAGGGAAAGAAAATTGTTTAAAATCGGAGGGAAGAGCACAAGGGACTGTGGTAATGGTGTACGGGTGAACTAGTGACGGGAACTCCTTGGGACCAAACATGAGTAGATAAAGCATATAGTGTATGAAAATGAAGACTGGTGTGGAAAAAAAAAATTATATATGTATGTGTGTGTGTGTATATGTGTGTGTGTGTGTGTGTGTGTGTGTGTGTGTGTGTGTGTGTAAATATTCAGTGCAGTTATAGTCCTAGCAGCCTTTTTAAAATAAATTGACAAACTGGCTTTAAAATTACATGTAAAGATCAAGGACATAGATAGCCAAAACAATTTTGAAAAAGCAGAATAATAATAGAGCTTTTACTTATGATTTCAAAACATCCTGTAATGCTACAATAATCAATACAGTGTGGTATTTACATGAAAATAGTTATACAGATTAATGGAACAGACAGTCCAGATACAAACTCATGGGGGAATGATAGTTAAAAATTAAACATTTAGAGCTCTCCCTGGTGGCACAGCAGGTTAAAGCACCTCATTATGAAGCTCCCCAAAGCCACTGCAGTACAAGCTCAATCCTCCACCGGGGAGCTGACCCACATGGCACAGCAGACCTCTCCTGACCTGTCCATTGAAGCAGTGTGTTTCAGTAGATCTGCCTGTTCTGCTCCCCACTCTGTCTCTGGTGAATCCTCTCACCTACCACACCTCTGGCCTATATCCCAGTTCTGTATGCATAAATAAATAAATCTTAAAAAAAAATTAAAGATATACATACAGTGAATATAGAAATTTCACTTATAACTATTTACCCATGAAAAACAAAACTGTGTATCCATACAAAAACTTGTATATGAATGTTCTTAGCAGCATTACTTGTAACACCAGGACTGAGTACCACCATAATGACCATCAATGAGTATAAAAATATCAATACCAGTACTTATCAATAAAAATGATTGAAATATTGATACAATAGCATGAGTGAATTTGAAAAACATCTTGCTTAGTGTAATAAATGCAACACAATAAAGTACATATTTTACAGTGCTATCCAAATAAAATCCTAGAATTGATAAACCTGCAGTGATAGGAACTGGAGCTGTGGTTTCAGGGTATGCAAAAAAGATTGACTGCCAAGGAGCCAGGGGAAATTTGGAGGGTTATAGAATGTTCTGTATCTTGATTATATGGTGATTATTTCATGACTGTATACAGTTGCCAAGAGTATAAAGGAAAACTTAAAATGGGCCATTTTGTAAATTATACTTTAAAAAAAACTGATGATGTGGAGAGAAAGAGAGAAAATACCATAAATTTTTTCTTTGATTGCATTTTTATGGATTATGCATATTCAGTTTTTCTAAATTATCTATATTATAGTGATTAAATCTCAGGACTACACTTAGCTAAGTGTGATACACAGATAGGAAATAATTTTATTCAGAAATGGACTAAGCAATCATACAGTGAAAAAGTCTTATTGCATGTTCTATGTGTTTAAGATTTTTTAAAAAGATTTATTTATTTATGCATAAAAGAACAGGGGTACAGGCCAGTGGTGCAGGGCATGAGAGGATTCACCAGAGACAGTGTGGAGCAGAACAGGCAGATGTACTGAAATACAGGAGAGGTCTGCCAGGCAATGCAGGTCACCTCCGTGGCCGGGTACTGAACTTGTGCCACAGTGACTGCAGATAGCTTCACAGTGCTGCACTTTAACCTGCTGCACCACCAGAGAGGGACTCAGGTTTTTCTTAATAACCTGATATCATACTAAGCACATGCCTGTATCTTTCAGAAGTACTCAATTTTAAAGAACAGCGTATGAAACAAATATGTTTTGGATATGACAGAGATATGTTTGGCCATTTCAGACTTAGACAGTAAAACTTTCCACTGTTGATATATGATTGTTGTCTTAAATATATTTGTTTATTTTGGATTGGTTGAATTATGTGAAATTTCATAAGCAGTATATATTTCAGGAAATTCACTGTCTGCAATATTAGAAGGAGAAGCTCGGTTAACGTTCTTGAATAGAGGTGAAGATTATGTAATGACAATGCCATATGCTCATTGTAAAGGTACAGATTTTCCATATTTGATATAAATGTTCATTAAGCCTTCTCTTTAATGTATATTTTTGTGGCCATAATTTATGTTTGACATTGGTAGAATCTGTTTTTTGTTTAAAAATGTCCTTGGTCTACAGATACTTGAGCTTATTGCTATCATCTGCTGAGTATTTCCACGGGGAATTAATTCACACGTAACAGACTTTTTTATGACAAACTTTATTTGGAGGAGGCTGATTTATAATAATGGAATTTCATTTGCCTTATGCGCAAGTTTGAAAATTTGATGTATCTGCCCATTATTTTGGAATCTTTATGATTCTTAAGATTTGCATCTTGTTTCACCACCACCTCTCTTTTAACTTACTACTTTGCAGGGCCTTTAAAATTTTTTCTTATCCTCATTTGGTAGTTTTTTAAAAGTTAATATGTTATGCTTCACTTCATTATTTAGGATACAGACAAAGATATCAGATAATATCACTTACATGAGGTCAGGCATCCAACTATTTTGTGTACCTTATGTTTAAAACCTCATCATCTCAGTAGCCCTCTAACGTAGGTTATATTTTCCCTGTCTGATATATGAAGAAAATGAAACACAGAGAATTTGTCTGAAGCACTCAACTAAGATGTGGCAGAATCAAGATCTCTGCATTCTACATTACTAGAAATCATCAGCATCAACACTTAATTTGGTTATTATGTACCTTTTTCCAACTCATTTCTTAAAAACATCTTTTTGTTGTTAATTATCCTCTATTTTAGGAACTGATCATGAAAACACAGAAATGATTTTATATGGCCTCATTAAAGGTGAAAAAACTTGAGGGGTGGAGGAATAGTAAGAATCTAGCCAAGGAAAATGGACTAGTCCCTAAGAATGCTAAGAGCAAACTCAGTTTTCTTGACTCCCATTCACTACATTAGAAATTATAAATAAAACAGTAGTCAATATATGGCCTGATGCTAGACCATTCTTACAGCTTCACATGAAGCTCTTGAAATAGATATGAAGTAAAATACATGAAATTATTAAGTTGATGGGATATATATTAAAAATTTTTATGATTTGCAATAAATTATTTCTCAGATAAATATCCATATTATACCCAGCTAGAACAGAGAAGTGTTTTTTTTTTTTTTTTTTCCTTCATAGCAGTGTTTTTATTGCATGGAAAAAAGAAGACATTGGTAATCCTGTGAATGAGCATAGGAACATAATTTTTCATGCTGGTGTATTTTCTACAGTGTATTCTCAAACAGCTAGTCTCAGATTGCTTTGCAAAATAATTTCCAAGCTGAGTAAGTATAGAAACATTACAGCCTGTTCCCTTTTTGGAAATTAACACTGTTCATTTGCTCTTAAAGACTACAGTCTTTAAGATGCACACCCAGTTTAAATTTGTTAAACAGAATTTCCCCAATTTCTAGCCAGAGTCTATGGGTTTTACATTTGAATCTTGTTATTTACAGTAGTTATGTTTAATAAAGTTATCACAAACACTCTGCATAGTGGACCAGTGCTCCTAAGGAAACACAAGGTCTGCTTCCTCTGTGCCTCTTGTCATGTCACAGTTTCATCACCTGCTCATTATATAATCTTGTTTCTATTTAAAGACATTTTATTTAGTATGTATTATTGGTTTGTTAGCATTGAACTGACAGCCAGCAGCAGCAGAGTTCATGCCCGAGCCAAGCTTTAATATTTCATTTTCTCTATACTGTACATCACAGCCTTCTGAGCTTAAAAACACTCGATAGCACTTTTATACTACACTTGGGGGCCATTCTAAACATGGCCCCAAAAGTTGTCAACAAAAAGCACAAAAATGCAGTACTACAAATACTTCAAGAAGGACACTTGTTTACAATAAGATCAAATGAGAAGGCAGAGTCTCACCTTATTCAACATCAGGTGGAATGTGGACATCAGGCAACTCAAATTTTTCACCATTTGGTACATGTCCACAAATTACAAAACAAAGTATTCTGTGATTTTTTGATTACCAATGTATTTTAATATGTGGGTCTGCGAATTACGAGAATTAGCTGTTAGCTACTTCACTCCTAATCAAACCAATCTTATGTGTGTTTATTGTAGACATTTTGGAATGTGACAGAATGCCCTTGAATTATTAACTTTATTATAAATATTACTGATAAAATATAATTTTATACAGTAATATAAGTATTAAGTATAGCTATTGTTCATCTTAGGAAATGAAATTTTAAAACTGCTTGTTCTTATACTTTGCTTCTTCAACCATTTGTCTTTTTTTTTTACTTTAGGAATTCTTTATGGCACAATGACGCTAGAGCTTGGTGGAACTGTCAATATTACATGTCAAAAAACTGGATACAGTGCAGTACTTGAATTCAAACTAAAGGTTAGTAGAGAATTATAGGTTGTATCACCTAGTTAAAGGGGAGCTTTCCTATGAATATAAATTTTGAACAAAGAGACATTAAGCAGAGATTTAAGAAGTGAATAAACAGTGATCTCTCAGTAAATTAAAACACTGCTTTACAAAAGACCAATAATTATGTGTCAGTTTGACCTATAACTGTATAGACTAAAAGAGAATTGTAATAGTTATAATATATGCATAACAAATTGCACTAGAATCCATAAACTTAAGAACAACCATCTATGGGTGTTATATGTACACAATGGACTCATACCATTTGCAGCAATATACATGGAGCTGGAAGGGATAATACTAAGTAAAATAAGTTAGAAGAAAGAGAAATAATAGATGGTGTCACTAATATGTGGAATATAAAATAGCTAAGAATCAGGTAAAGACAAACTTAAAAATTAACCTTTGATAGCTGATGTCATAACTGGAACGCCAAGATTGGGAGGGCTTTGGGGAGGGTTAAGAACAAAGAGAGAAGTGTGATGGACTGTGGTGGTAGACTATCGGTGATTTGGTGGTGGGTACAGTATGGTGATAACACCTGATGGAGGTATCCAAATATTACATTAATATAACAATTAATTTTTAAAAGTCAGGTGCCAGCTCATAATTCGTAGGAGTTTTAGGAATTTTTAGCCAGTTATACTGGAGACCACTTTTCTCTGCTAGGAAATATCCATTCTTAAGTTAGGAAGAATTTGCAGGCCCTGAGAATCATTTGATAGTTGGAATCATTTGAAAGTTCATCACTTGGATAGTTGGATGACTGTAATGGACTAGGAGTGCTGATTTGAGCACGTGTATGGGTGGCTTTTCAATGTGACTTGGTTTTTAAAGCATGACAGCTTTGAGATAGACTCTTACTAGCAGCTCAGAGTTCCAATTGAGCAAGGTGGGAGCTATAACACTTTTGAAACTTAGTTTCAAAAGTCAAGTAACATCCTTTACACCATCCTCTATTAGCTGAAAAAATTACAAACCCACTCTAGTTGAAGGGGAAATTTTAAAGATCTTTCAAACTGTCAGTTGTGGTAGGGTATTACATTGTGCTCAGATAAATATGTGTCCATCAACTAATGTTTTATTACTGAATCATTCCTGTGTTATCTAGCTCATGAGCAACTTTTCTCTATTAAAATGGGTCTTATGTTTTCTTATGTAAAATCCTTTGATTTTTATTTTGTCTTAAGCAAATGTTTTGCTTGTGTGGTATTAGTAAACTTGAAAATCATTACTGTAGAAATCTTTCAAACAATTTGTGACATCTTTAAGAATTTAGTGTCATGGTGAAAGCAATACAATAACTCAAAGTATATACCCTCCAATTTTAATCTTTAGAAAGTTTTATTAATTGGGCATTGATTTACTATTTTGTTTGGAAAAAGGAGGTATTTCTTTGCATAGGTAAATTAAATCCCTTCAGTTTACTGAGTTGTTTTGCTTCATGTATTGCAATATTGATAGAATAGTCTTGAGTCAGAGGCAAGCAGAGGACATGAGACAATTATGTCAGTGTGATCTTTCTCAATATGTTTACTTGAAGTAGACATAATCTGTTTTATCCTATTTTCCCCCACAGCATCAAATTAAAATTTCTTTTTTTATCATTTCTGACTAAAGTTTGTGTTAGTATTTTACTCAGATGACTAAAATAGCACTGTAACTACACAATTACTTTAGATTTTTTTGTATATTTTGTGTACATATAAGTTAAAAATAAAATGATACTTTAACATTTTCTCTTTTAAAAGCCATTTCTAGGTAGTAGTGACTGTGTTAATCAAATATCAGGGAAACTTAAATTGGGAAAAGAAGTCCTAGCTACATTAGAAGGTCATTGGGTAAGTATTTTTATATATTAGCTTTACAAAAAAAAAAGTTACATTATTAAAAACTTTGAATAAACCTCAGCTAACAAATATTTTAGTTTTGATCTGTTATTAACATATAATTTTTATATAATAAAATATGTAATATCTTCCCAAAGCAGTAAATCAATAAAAATAACTACACATATATCACTGCATTGTTTGGAAAATGTTAATTGATTTTAACTCACTTAATCTTTAAAATACAATCATGTATCATATTATAATTTGTTATAAAGTGGGTTTTGTTGTTAGTCTGTATTTATAGAGAAGAAAACTGATACATATATTTTAAATAAATAATTTGCCCAAAATAAGTGATGGCACAAGAATTCCATTCCAGATTCTTTGACCCAGAGCTGTACTTTTATACACAGCTGTAAACTACCTCTGACCTAGAGAAAGGTCACTTCCAGTTAGAGTTATATATCCTTTTGTGGAACATGGAAAAGATGTAGGAGTATGAGTGCAGTGGTTTTTATTTACTTTTTTGCTGACCTGTATTCTCACTTAACATAATTTTAGTAAGAAGAACGTAAATGAATAAAAAAGAGCATAATATTGTCTTTCACTGTGCATTCTCACTGTAAATACTGAGTTATGTGCTATTTTCTGTATTTTATTTTATTTTTTTTTATTTATAATAGTTTATTTTTACATCATTTTGTACATTTTTTTTCCATCTCAGTTGTAATCCCCGTGGGTTTATGAGCCCTTTCATAAGGGTTAAGTAATTTTATAAATATGTTAAGTAATTTCTGTTTATACTAATAAAAGTACCTTATTTTATTTTTTTTATTTATAATAGTTTATTTTTACATCATTTTGTACATTTTTTTTCCATCTCAGTTGTAATCCCCGTGGGTTTTATTTTCTGTATTTTAACAGGGAGAAAATGAAACTGCATCTAGAGTCAGCCAAGATACCACATATACTCTGTTTTAAATTTTACTTCTAGTTGAAGGTTATTTAGAAAAAAGAAAGCCAGCCTTTTATAAGTGAAATTTCTAAAATTGAGTTCAAATTTTAATGCTAAGAAAGGTTACTAAATATAACAAATGCATATGTAGTCAATAGTATCTCATAGACTGGGATCTACTTTGTTAAGTCAGACATGGTTGCTGAGACTTTGCATGTAATTGTTTGAAATTTGTTAAATAAGCAAATATATAAGGTGTCTCCCTGATAGCCTATAGGTTACCTCTACAGCCAGAGTTTGATTCCCAACAGGGAGCTGACCCACATGGCACAGCAGACCTTTTCAGACTGGCTCCCCTACTGTTCCCCTCAGCAGTGTATTTCAGTAGGTTCACCTGTTCTGCTCCCCACTCTGTCTCTTGTGAATCCTCTCACCCCCCCCACCTCTGACCTTCAGCCCAGTTTTTCTATGCAAAAAAAAAAGTAAATATGAAATCTTAACAATTTAAAAATATTGACTAGTATTATGTATTATGTGTTTAATCTCAGTTTTACAAAAATGGCAAATTTGGGACTTTTGTAAGAGTGCTAGTTATATTTGTTTTAAAGTGTGTTTAGTTCAAGAGTTAAGTATCAAGAAGAATTATTATTAGGCTGTATAATACTTTTTTTAACAAAGTAATTCTCTACATTAATTTTTTTATTTCTTTAAATATAGGATAGTGAAGTTTTTGTTAATGATAAAAAGACTGATAATTCAGAGGTTTTCTGGAATCCAACACCAGACATAAAGCAGTGGAGATTAATAAGGCACACTGTAAAATTTGAAGAGCAGGGAGATTTTGAATCTGAGAAGTAAGTACACCATGTTTCAACTAATTTCATATTTCAATTTAGCAAAAATGTTTAACATTTGTGGGGTATGATACAATTCTATTTTGGTACCTGTGAGTGTCAAAAATATATAATACAAGTCATGCTATTTTTTCAACTCAAACTAGAACATTTCCCCTCTCCTTATTTGTTCTAGGGTCTACTTTAAAAAATCTATTTTGTTTCAAAAAATTCTAAGACTAGTCAATGATTCTTAGTTTTTAACTAGCACTTTTATTGAGTTGAGGCATGTACAACTCTAGATGAAAGAAGTGGTTCCAGTTTCAAATATAAGAATAATGCCACTGGATGTTCAGGCTTCTAAAGAATTTAATTAGTTGGGGAATAATTAATGCCATAGTTTCTGCTCTTAATGTCATGAAATTCTTGCTGGATCATTTACTCTTTTGAACCAAATATATTGTATACCTATTACCCAGTTTTATTCTTATTGTATTTCTTTGTGTTAGGAGAAGGGGCCATCTACATGAGACACTATGCTAGCGACTTTAGACACATTGTGTATTTTAAATATAGAATAGTAAAGTTTTTGTTAATGTTAAAAAAGACTGATAATTCAGAGGTTTTCTGGAATCCAACACCAGCAGTGGAGATTAATAAGACACACTGTAATATTTGAAGAGCAGGGAGATTTTGAATCTGAGAAGTAAGTATACCGTGTTTCAACTAATTTCATATTTCAATTTAGCAAAAATGTTTAACATTTGTGGGGTATGATACAATTCTATTTTGGTACCTGTGAGTCCATATATACAACACTTGTTGAGGTATAAATATGATGTAACATATTTTAAAAGTAAGGAAGATCAGCCTTACATAGAATAAGGAACTTTAAGTTCACCAGCTAAGAAGTGGCAGATACAGTATTCAACTCACACGTGTTTAATTCCAAAGTCTTTGTTCTTTAAATCCTAGTATGCTACTTTCCAGATGGGAAGAATGTAGAGATATTTCCATTCACCTGACCAAAAAAAAAAAAAAAGGCCTAAATTCTGATAGAAAAGAAGATTTTTACATAAGTAGTCTTTTTTCTGTAAAATCACTGGTTTCAATAATGACCACACTTTAAAAGCATTTGGGAAGCATTCTGAAAAACAGTATGTGCTCCCCACTCCCAGAAATTCTGATTTAAAAAACTTCCCAGATAATATTATATCCAAAGTTGAGAAGTATGGTATCATACTATTTGGGTCTCTGAGGTCATTAGATCTTAAAAATATGCATATGTATCAAACCATCTGTAGAATTTGTTAAAAATGCTGGTTTTTGAGCCTTCATTTCATTTCTATCCTTTTGCTACTCTTTGCCATATGTTTAGTAATTCATGTAATATACTTTTCTTGCCAAGAAAAATTAGTCTCCACTGTGTCACTCTACTTAACATTCTTCGTTTTATAGCTTGATACATTCTGAAATGTCTGCATATACTTTGTCAAAGTAAAAGTCTCATGAACACGTTTTCCCTGAAGTGATTTTAAGCCTATTCAGTGTAGATTTTTAAATAATGTCTTTGCACATGTATTAGGCTCTGGCAGCGTGTAACTCGAGCCATAAATGCCAAAGACCAAACAGAAGCTACTCAAGAGAAGTATGTTTTGGAAGAAACTCAAAGACAGTCTGCCAGAGAACGAAAAACAAAAAATGAAGAGTGGGCTTGCAAGTTATTTGAACTTGATCCACTCACAGGAGAATGGCATTATAAGTTTGCAGAGTAAGTAATTATAGTATTTTATAAGTAATATAAGTAATTATAGTATTTTATAAGTAATATAAAAAGCCTAGCTTTTTCTCTTTTTTTCTAGAATTTTTATTGTTTGTTGGAATAGTACTTTTAATTAAGATCTATATGAGATTTGTAATTGATTATTTCACACATAAATTTAGCTAACAAATTTCACTGCAGGCAATTAGCTTATAAAATAAGCAGAGACTCAGTAAAAAAAAGTAAGCTGAGAATCATATTAGATATGACATATCATAATCTTTTAAATACTCATGAAATTCTAATTACAGAAAATTTTTGTAAATATTTTTAAGTCATTTTGTTTAGTCATTAAATAAGTGTCTTTTTTTTAAATCCCCTTCATTTGTGAAGTACTCGGCCATGGGACCCTCTCAATGACATGATACAGTTTGAAAAAGATGGAGTTATCCAGACCAAAGTAAAACATCGCACTCCAATGGTATGTAATGAAAAAGTAATTAGGTGCTAGACATAGATATAAAAGTTTGTTATATTTACCCAGAAATATTTGAAATTTTGTTTCAAATTTTAATATGTTGGCCAGCAAAATGGAAGAATAGGTATGTATTCACCTCCTTCCCCCACAAAGAAACATCAAAGACAAGCAGAAACTATCAGAAACAAATTTACCAAACTCTGGAAAATAGAGGTTAGCAGCAGCTGAGTAAACACTGAATCAAGAAAGGTGACTTCAAATCAGTTGGAAAGCTATATAAGATTTTTACTTACCCTTGTTCCAAACCTTCTCTGGTGCAGTGACAGTGTTGATAGGTCTACACATTCCTGGGTGTGCCCTGACTCCAGAGGAAACAGACCTAATTCATTAATTGTCATTTATGTGTATTCTTACCTGTCTGGGACCTGCTGGAAGGAGTTGTGCACGGCACACATTTCTTCTTTGTCTTACTCAAAGCTTAGCAGAGAGACTGCAGGCATTGCTTGGTGGTACTTTAAGCCAAACTAAAAACCTGCAGCCCCCTGAACAAAAGTGCTCCCTTAGTCAGTGTGTTTCAGTCAGTCTACCTGTTCTGTTCCCCACTCTGTCTCTGGTGAATCCTGTTACTTCCCACACCTCTGGCCTGGACCCCAGTTCTTGTTTGTATAAATACATCTTTTTAAAAAAAAATAAAAGATTACCTTTGAAACGCACAATAGGTGTGATGTAAGACCCAGGAACAAAAGATAAGGAGAGATTCTTTGAGAAAACAGGGCATTAAAAAGCCCCATGTAGACAGGGAAATTTTTAAAACTAAAAAAAAAAATGGCTAAGGCAAGATGTTTACAGTCAGAAAAAAAAGATCTCAAAAACTGTAAACTTTCACTTCAAACTAATTCCTAGGTTTAGAAGTAAAAACCTAAGTAAGTATAGTATAAGTGTCCCTACAAAGAGGCTACTAAGATTGGACACTATTAGTTAGCTTTTGTTTTTCTTTTTTATCTCTGTTTACCCACTGCATTAAGGAAATCTCAGTCAAAATACTTGCTGAACGACAGCAAAAGAGCAGAAAATACAGAAAGAATGCATATCAAGGAATAATACACTCTTTGCAAAAAAGCTTTATGAAATTCATTGAACAAATAACCTTTGATAGCCTTGACAAACCAGAAAATAGCAGCCCTAGGGAAGATGAAAAATCTGATTTAGGTATTTGCCATATTATGTTTATTCAAATGTTGATTTTTTTCCAACAAAGAATTATTAAACATACAAAGAAACAGTGAAGCATTACTAAAGGGAACAAAATAGAAACACTACCTGATGAAGTCTAAGACGAAGACTTAAAAAACTGTCTTAAATATATTCAAAGATGTAAAGGAAACTGAGCTAAATCAAGAAAATAATGTATAAACAAAGTGGGACTATCAATGAGAGAAATTATACAAAGCAAATTCTGGAACATAATGACTGAAATGAAATATTCGTAGAGATAGTCAGCAGTAGAATCAGACAGGCATAAGAAAGAATTGGCAAGCTTAAACAAAAGACAATTGAAATTATCTAGTTTGAGGAAGAGAAAGAAAAGAAAAGAAACAAAAGTGAACAGAGTCTAAGAAACCTATCAGACACCACTAAGTGAATTATATGCAATATTGGAGTAGAAAGACAAAAGAGGTATAAGAACATTTGAAGAAAGAGCTCCCCCTTCCCTCAAACACTGGAAAAAACAAACTCAAGTTAGAATAAACTCAGAGAATCAAGCCAAGACATTGCAAGCAAACTCAGAGGACAAAGTTGAGGGGAAGAGACAAGGATCTTGAAAATAACAAGAGAGAAGCAACTAGTTACATTCCAGGGGGTCTGTATAGGATTAATAACCAGTTTGTCATGAGAAACCATGGAAGCTAGAAGGTATGAGATATGACATCTTTAAAGTGCTAGAAGAAAAGAGTTGTCTCTATATGCATTCTCTCCTTCAAAAATAAGGAAGAAATTAAGAATTCTGAGATTAACAAAAACTGAGGAAGTTTATTATATTCTTGGTGGAAATATAAAATCGAGTTTATACATAAAACAATTTGATGGTTCCTCAGGAAGCTAAACATAGAATTGCCACATGGCCCACTACAAAAGAACTGAAAAGAAGGACTCAAATTGATACCCTACTTGTAGTGACGGTCTTTGCTGTGTTATTCATAATAGTCTAAAGGAAAAACAATACAATTGTCCATCAGTAGATGGATAAACAAAACTTACTATGGAATATAATTCAACAGTAAAAATTAAAATAAAGTTTTGCTGCATGCAGTGATATGAATGAGCTTTGAGTATATTATACTAAGAGAAAAAAGTGAAACACCAAAGAACAAATACTGTATGATTCCATGTTATCATAATTATAATGAAAATTATATTGCCGACACCTTTGTCATATTAAAAAGCTTCACACTGGGCCCTCCCTGGTGGCGCTGCCGGTTAAAGCACAGCATTAAGAAGCTAAAACCACTTCAGCATGAGTTCGATCCCTGCCCCAGAGGTGACCCACATGGCATGGCAGACCTCTTCTGACCTGCCCACTGTGCCTCTCAGCAGTGTACTTCATCAGTCGGCCTGTTCTGCTGCCCACTACCTCTGGTGAAGCCTCTCACCACCCCTGCACCTCTGGCCTGTACCCCAGTTCTGTATGCATAAGTAAATAACTTTAAAAATAAAATAAAAACTTCACACACCAATCTTCATCAATCTTCAGTTGGAACCTATTCTAAGAGTATGGACTTGGGTTGTAAATGTTATAAAATATCCTTTTAAGTTTAACTTGAAGTTCCCCTGACTTGAAGTAGGAGGGCATCTAAGTGTAGGCTGAATCCAAAACATGCCAGTTTTTTTATTTTCAATATTAAATTATAGAAATTTTATTTTTATATTAAGCACATGTAAGATTCTGCAAAATTCTGCAACGAATCAGGTAACTGGAACATTGTTGTTTAGGACAGTTAATGGTTCAGAATAGTGTTTTAAAAACTGTGACTACTGGTTCCCTGTCTTTCTAAGCATATATTATCTTTCCTTTCTGATTATGGTTTTTTCTCGTGTGTTTGCCCTTTCTAATTTGGTATTAACTACCAAAATTGCCAGCCTACCAGTAAATCATTTAAAGCTTATGTATCCTAAAGAAAATTTAGCCTTAATTGATACTTTGAATCTTATGTATATACATAAACACTTTTAGTAAGTCAAGTAGAACTCAAAAATATCATTTACATTTATAAGATTTTTTTTATATATCCATACATTATTAAAAGTAAATAATATCAATTTACTGGAAACCCAACACTATTTTAATGAAACCACTTTTTGTTAGAAACAGTATCATCATGATTTTAAAACACTGTTATTTAACATTTAAGTAGTGCAATTTGCACTACTTAATTGGTGGGGCTATTTTATAGTGTGTATGCATGAAAGTACCTCTTGAAGGATCTACAAAATACTAGAAGTACTTTTTGATATGAAAGAAACTGGGTAGGTAGGAGTTAAGAGTGGGTGAGAAACTCTGCATTGTTCAATTTTATATAGTTTTTGGTGTTTGTGAAGTTAATGTTATTAAAATTAAAATAACTTGGTTGTATATCATTGTTTATTAGGCTTCAGACTATTGTCTTCTTTGTTTTTATTTCTAAATATAGATCACGAGTAGTTTTGCTAGTCCTACATTTGTCATTAATTTTAAGAATCATACAAATTAACATAACTGCATGATTTTTTTTCAGGTTAGTGTCCCCAAAATGAAACATAAGCCAACTAGACAACAGAAGAAAGTAGCAAAAGGTTATTCCTCCCCTGAACCTGATATCCAGGACTCTTCTGGAAGTGAAGGTAAAATTACTGTAGACTATTCACTGTAAGTCTGATTTTTTTTTTAGGATATTACTACACTATGTGTGATACATGAACATGGTTTTTCATACTAATTCAAAAAGACCTGTAAGAGTTTTGGTTGTTAAGGCAGGAGTAGGATGTAAAAGAAAGTATTTTGGACTACAGAAAAGTTGCAAGACCAGGTCACAATGTAAAGGGAAAAAAATGAAAACAGGAAGATCAAGAGCCATATTGCAGAACCAGCTACTATGCCTTATTACCTAATGATTTCCTAGATTCAATTTAGGAAGCATTTTTTGGGCTTTGAACTTAGTTCCATGCTTCAATAAGCTTTCCATTCTCTGAATTAAATGTTTAGAAGCGACAAATTAGTAAAAAAAAGATAACTATCAGAATTATTGACTAAATAATTCAAGTCAGAATATGTGAACACTATCTTGAATTATATTGAGATCTAATCAAACAAAGGATTAAGTTAATGTTTTAGTGCTATGAGAAACTGAAAAAACTTAATTAAGCCATAGTTTCTGCTAAGTGCACACTAAGTTGGGGAGCTCAGATAACTGTAAAAGGGAAGTAATGATAAATGCCAGAAAATTAGAAGATGACAAATAATAAAGAATTTATATAGAAGGGGCAACTGAATTCAGTTTGAAGTTTCTTGGAGGAACCCTGCTAAAGCTATTGGATGACAGCAGGTAAGGATTGAGGAATGTGGGTGAGGTAAAGTTACTGGAGTCGAAAAGGAATAACATGAATTAAGGTTTAAAAGCAGGTATAACATAGTACTGGTATACTAGAGGGAGTAATTTGCTGTTTTTGTTCCCATTCTATAGTAAAAGAAATTGAGACACAAATGGTTAACCTGCCCAACTTCTCACTCCCTATAAGGCAATACATCTATTGATAGATACATATATTTTGGTTCCTTAATTCACTCTCTTTTCCATTCCACTATATTACCTATAATGTATCAGCTGAAATTTATTGGGTACTTAATGTGTGCCAAGACTGGATGTTAAATATACCTTATTATAACCATATGAGTGTGGGTATTATATTATTATCCCTATTTCACAGTTGTAAAAGCTGAAACTACAAGAAATTGTACAAGAAATTGTATCTGAACAAAAATGGAAAGGAAGAAATAAATATGAGAGGGAATTGAAAGAACCAGTTATAGTTTGGCAATAAAAATCTGTAAAGAAGTTACCAAAACTAAATGAAAGAGTTTACCTACAGTTTAGTTATTATGAGAATAGGGATAACATTAACAATTAATAAAAAAAAAAAAGACAACTAAAAGGTGGACTCAAAATGCTGACTTCTTAGGATCTAGGAAACTGACACAAGATGTGATTAATACTCTCCCCAAATAAATACTTTTAAATGAATTACTTTTGTCTGGTTAGTTAAAAAGTATAAATGCCATCCAAAATATAACTGATTTCTGGTTACTTTAAAAGTATCTGTAGAGATCTGGTTTTGAAATATGTTTGAAATTTCACAAATACAGAGTAATAGAATTAAACTTTAAGTCACAAAACCAATGTTTTGGGAAATTATTACATTTAGAGTCTTTAAGCTGAAGTGTGACTTGTTTATAATTCAGTACATTCAGTATTTTCACCCACTTCTTTCTAAATGTCTTTTTTTAGCTCAATCAGTAAAACCAAGTACAAGAAGAAAGAAAGGTATAGAACTGGGAGACATTCAAAATTCTATCGAATCTATAAAGCAAACACAGGAAGAAATTAAAAGGTAATATATACCAGCGATGACTATTCAAGTTCAGAAGAGTGGTTAAGAATCCAGTTAGGTAGGAAATCATGTGCAGACTTCCTTTTTATAGTATTGCTAGCATTGCTAAGCTAAAGTAGAATTTAGAAATCTACCACCTGAGATAGACTGAGACTTGGAATTCTTTCAGCATTAAAATATTGGGATGGGTGGGGCTCTCCTTATCTGGGAGAGTAGAGTTGTAATCTCAGCTGCTGAGGTGTACTGGGAATGTAGTCATTTTCATGTAGAAGGGGGCGGGTGGTTTCTGCAACTCCAGAGTATGTGCTATGCTCTTTGGATCTTTGTCCACACTGAAGCACGTCTTGTGTTGCCCTTACTCCCACCTTGCCTATCAAGAAATCCCTCTTTATCTTTCAGAGTAAAAGTCAAATGCCATCCTTTTTATAACATTTTTAGTCACTCACCTTTGCCTTCCAGAGTTTATTTATCCCTCTGCTCAACTTGCATAGCTCCCTGCACATAATCCTTTTGAACACCTACTCAAGATGCTTTAGAGTTGTGATTGTATATTTGTTTCTTCCCCATTAAGATTACAGCTTCTTTAGAGCAATCCCTACATAGCGTGTTTCCACCTTATAGTTTAATTAGATTATAAAAAATGTAAGCCTACTTGATACATCCTAAAGAAAGGAGAAAGAACCCTATACTGATAAGACTTCAATGGGAAAAGTCAGAAAATAAAAATCACTAATCAACTCTTGTTAAAATTTTCATTTTAAAACAACTAAATATCTCTCTACATCCTCAGGCTTTAATAATTGTTTGATGCATATAATTAAGTCATATTTTCGATATAAAATTGAGTTGGAATCAGATGAGGTAATAATGGTATCACCTAGCTTAATCAGCTCCTTGCTTAAATAGTAGTAATTGATTGAACTAGTTACTTAAGATAATGTAATTAAGTGCTCTGTGACCATAATTAAAGTTGTGAAATCTCTGGAAACATTTTCACAAATAACTTTTAAAAACTGTTGCTTATTTTTATAGAAATATTATGGCTCTTCGAAATCACCTAGTTTCAAGTACACCTGCCACGGATTATTTTCTGCAGCAAAAAGACTACTTCATCATTTTCCTCCTGATTTTGCTTCAAGTCATAATAAACTTCATGTTTAAGTAGAAATTCTTTACAGTTGACTCAGAGAACTGGAATAATCAGATTTGGCCTGGGACCAGTGTTCAAGTTGGTTTGGTCTTTAAAGCATCACAATATTTCTAAAACAAAAAAACTTAGAGATAAATGTAGGGGTGTTGACCTTTCACACCTTTTACCCTTAACCTGAAACAAGAGCTATTCTGTTTGACTATTAAAGTGAGCTATATGTTAAGTGCCAGAAAATTTCTAGCTTTTGTGAGATTGTGTCTACATGTGAGTATAATAAATCCACATGTATACATATACTTGTGTTTTATGCATACCTGATAGTAGTCTTTCTATTTTATAGTATGTTCTGAGACTTATCATTAATATGTTAATAACAAAAATGCTGTCAATATTATAAATACATGTATGGTAATCTATTTTCTTCATAAAATAGGCACAAACATTTTATTGGTAAGGAGTGACAGAATGGGAAATGATGAGATAGACATTTAATAGTTCAGTTAACTGTACAGTTAAAAACAGTTGCAAAGCATCCAGCTCAATTGCTGTAGAAATATCAAGAGAAAAGTATGGTCAAAATTGATAATATTGGGGGAAACAGGTGGCATATTACTTTTTTAAAAAGTTTACATGTTTTTTTAACCCCTAGAATTTAATATAGCTACACGTATACATGTATGTATGTGTATATCAATATAAAAAACTGGTATGCAGCTGCTTGATCTGTTGATTATCTCTTTCTGTATATTACCACCAGAAGCACTTGCTGAAAAAGTGTTGTCAGAATTGATTGCTATCCTTTTATTTCTTTTAAGTCAGCTGGTCCAAATTCTAGAGATGTTGATAGGAAATGCTAATAATTAATGTCTTTTCATAATGAAAACTTATTTTAGTATTCATTTAGACCCGAATGTGTTCAGTGAGTAAATAGAATAGAAAAAAAAATATTTTACTCTAAAAGCCAAAAAAGAGAAAGGCAATAAGACATTTTGTGTGGTGGCATTTATGTGTACATTAAATTGGTTTCTTTGAAATGTGCAATAAGTTGAGCATCAAAGAAAAGCATCAAGTTCTGAAGTTCAATTCTTGATTGTCCTCCTTTGTTCTTGGTAACTTCATTCTGTAGCAAGACCATGCATGGTTTCTAAGATTCTTTTGTTCAGGCTCAGGCAAACTGGTCCCTAAGTTTTGTTTTTTAATATTTTAATTTTACCTTTTACATATTTACAGTCCTCTAAAGCAAGTTTTGCAAGTGTGGTAAGCTTAGGAACATGTTCCTAAAATATACTTTAGAATCCTGAAATGGTTATTAAGGAAAGTGAGAGAAAATAATTGGTGTTGGCCAATTTGCCTTTGACTAAAAGGAAACTGTGAGACGCTAATAGTTATAATCAACTGTTTACATCATGATAAATATAAAATCAAGGAATGGTTGCTGAATTATGAAAATTGCAAGTGATATAAAGAGATCCTGAATTTTTCCTCCCTAACTGATACAGCTTTTTTAACCATAACCATATGTTTTCAGGAGTCCTTTTGGCAAACCAGTGCTGTATCCTATGTGTGTGAAAACATTTTTTAAATTGTTGAAAACATAAGTAAGATGTAGTTACACCCAGTATTAATACAGGTATAATATGACCACATTACAGTAGATGGGGTTTTTGTTTGTTTCATACTTATAATTTTTGTACCTTATGTTGTCAGTTTTATGCTCAACTGCCTATTCGTTGATATATTTGTAAATATTGTACAATTAGATCTTTTAATGGTTCAATTAGTATTAACTTACATTACAAATAACTAGATTGGCTAATCACAGAAACCATTCCATCATTAAACATTGAAAACTTAAAAATTTTTTGGTAGTCAAACTCCTCTGGGGCCTACTTTTGTTAGTTTCTTTGGTCTATAACAGTGTTTATTTGCATGGGTATCTTCCAAGACTGGAAAGGTAGTATTTTCTTTATTTAAATGTTCCTTATGGGGTTCTTGTTACCCAAGAGTCAAAACTACTTGAGCAGGGTTACTCATGACAGTTTCTTTCATACTAGAATCATATATCTACTCTAATAGCCCTCTTGTACATTTAGTTATATGGGATCCTTTCTGTGAACTGAACACAAAACTCAGGAATTGGTGGCTTAATTTTAGATCAGTGCTTATATTAGACTAGGTAGTAAGTGAATTCTTTAAACACATAATTAAACCTTGTCTTTAGCCATACATGTAAAATTGACTTTGAATGTTCTCTACTTGAGATTGATCTTCCTTCCACACGTGGATTCATAAAAATTGTGATTTACAGTTCCCAGTTGTAAGTTTATAATGGTTTTTCTAGGATTTAAGATCTTATGACCTTTAAAATTTTAAGACCTTAGGAATTTTTAATTTGATCAAGTTTATTTTTTCACATGAAAATTCAGATAATTACAGACATGTACATTTCTGCTTTAGTTGTTAAATGTACAACACCCTCATTTATACACCCATTTAGTGAGATGTAGCTGTCCGCTACAAAAAAAATAGGACATGAAAAAAATAAGTTTCAGCAATAGATATTTTATTTGTATTTCATTTAAGTACTTTTTTTGTATCGCTTATAAAGGTACAGTTAATCTCTGTCACCATTCCATTGAAAAAGTTGGCCTTGTAAACTAGAACTTTTATTTAGTATTCACGCATTTGTGCCTTTTAAGAAAATACTTTTTGTCATTTTTATGTTACAGAACTATCTTATTCATAAAGTGTTTATAGGCTTGTCATAAAAGGGTCATTTTTCTGTGTCACTTTATTTCCTTTTATATAGTTATAGTGTATTTAAACAGTAATACTGTACTTTTATAAGGGTTTGTCTATTTACTTATTTCAAATATATTCTTCACTCTCAGACTATCATTGATGTAAACTTGTCAGGTTATTCTAAGTATTGTAAACAGTGCCTTTTCTATGGAATTCACACTGTTTTGGGGTGTCAACTTGTGCCATATACACACAAAATTCTGTGGAAAGCAGTTTTAACTTTTTGAAGCATATCTTAACTATTTAAGAACAAGTGTATAAAACTCCATTTTTTTTCCAGTGGTTAGCATTTCTAGTGAACAATGAATATATTTTTGGCTCTTTTGTTGGACTTGGCATTTTTGATGAACCATATACGGCGCTATAGATTATTTTGAATTATGTTAAATGTACAAAATAAGATAATAAAGTTACATTTATACCAGATTTTCCAGTTTGAAACAATGGGCGAAAACACAAATCATTAAGTTTACATTTCAGCTTTGATCTTATTTGACTACATGGAAAAAGATGACTCTTTAAAATGTATAACCTGCCACTATTATGTAATTTGGTTTCATTTTGTTTATCTAGAGTGTGAACTTAATATATTCAGTTTACCTTTTGTTACTCTTAATCTGTTTTGTTACAGTTTTTAATTGAAGATGGACTGTTAAATTGTATAGGCTCAGTGTCTCCTTACTATGACTAACATTTAGGAGAGCCACAAGAAACCCATGACAAAATGAATGTGAATATACTTTCTAAAATATTTAGAAAATTTTAACTTTCTGCATTTATCATGTAAAATTACTTTAGTATACAATATTGAAATTTATTTAAAGAAAAATGCCACAGACATTTGATGAGCCACAGAACTTAAGTTGAAAAATGTTTTCACTTTTTAGCATGCTAAGTATACATCTAAATTAAATGTCCTGTTTAATGGCCATTTACAAATTCAAACACTACCACTGGTCAGTTTTGTATAATAGAATAAAAGTATGTTATGTGCAGTGTAAGTATAGCACACTGTCAAATTCTTTTCTTTAAGGTGCATAGTAAATGTACAGATAGTCATAGGCTATTGTTTTGTAATGTACTACATTTATAATCTATTATTCCTAACCTATTATAAATGTTTGCAGAGGCAAAAGCATTGAATTTTTCTAATGATCTGTAAAATTATGCTGACTTCTACAAGTAGGTATTCTAAATAAAATTTTAAAAAGAACAGACTGTGGCCAAATGATTTTGAATACAATATATGCTGTCTAAATTACTTATTACTGATTTTGTAATTTTTAATTTGTGGGGGTAGTTAGTTTTGAAATATGGTAAAGGACTTGGAAGGGATTTACCAGTTAGAAACCCTGTGGTAATTTTACTTGGTGCTTTATATTCACTCTTGAAAACTTATAAAGCCATAAAAAGGTAAGTGGGAGTTAGCTAGATTTTTATGGATGAAGATTGAAGCTCAAAGGAGGTAAATTAGTTAAGAGTAATAGCGAACACAAGTTTGAATTCATACCTGACTTTAATATCCATTCTCTATCCTAAAATAGAATAAATAATAAAATAGAATTTGCTCACAGCACTTCAACCTTTAAATGTTTGGAATAACCCACTGCTTCAATCTGTACTGAATTATGTAATCCCTTTCACTGATTTATACCAACTCCATGTGAAATAATAGCCCCTTTAAGTCACCAATTAGTCATACTGAGATAAGTCACAAAAAGTCATACCTCTCTGGTTTTCTTCTTTTTCCTTCATCATCCTTCGCCCTGCGCGTTCCCCCACCCCCGTTCCGAGCTTTATGCCCATGTTCTTCAAACAGTTACTTGGGTCCGATTAATTGCGGGGCTGTAGAGTGGGTGTGTTATATTTAAGAATGCTTAGTACTAGCCAACCACCATGCCAAGAAACACTCTTTATAAAGACAATTATAAGGTTTTTCTTTCGCAGACCTATTCGCTTTTATTTAAAGACGATAAACGTGCAGACAAAAGAGGTTACTTACTGAATGTCACAGATAGCAACCACTTCATCTGAGAGGTAGTTTAAATATATGAAACAATAATGCCCTCTGCCTAACTTTTTTCTAACATTGGATCGTATCTAATAATTTGAGGCACTGTATCAGTAAAGCATGTTATTCATTACCAGAGCGGCTCACTGTTCACCTCTACCTGCTAGTTAGGAAAAACCTGAGGTGGCTGGGGTTTCAGTGATACTTGAGACTAGGAAATAAGTGGCAAAGCCCTCGCAGAAAGCGAGCATCTCGCGACGGCAGCCATGCCCTCCCATCTGTCCAGCATCCTGGCACTCTGATGCCCGATCCAAGGAGAGGTTTCCCTCAGTAACAATCAGGAGCCCATTCCCTCCACACAGGCTCCACCTTCCTCCCCCTCTTCTGTGGGCAGTTTCCGGGGAGACGGAGGGAGCCGACGGCAGGCGAAACCACTGAAGGGGAAATGACTTTACCGATGGAAACTGGGAAGGACGCGCGGCTTCCGCTCCCGGGACAATTTCCGGAAGTTCAGGCTGCTTTCCTATCTTTGCCGGCTCTCTGGCGCCCCCTGCGGTCTCCAGCTGGCAGCACCGCGCGATCTTCCGCGGAGCGAGCTAAAAAGCAGCCCCCAAATCCAACCAAGAAGTCCAGTAGCCGGAACTTCCGGTATTCTCCCCTCCCCTTCCGCTCTGCCCGTGCGCGCCCCGCCCTGTAGTTCTAGGATTCGGCCTGCGGCGACCGGAAGCCGCCTGAACCCTGGGGCCTATGGCTGTTGCGGGGTCTACGGCTGTTGCGGGGTCTTTGAAAGCGGCCTTGCAGGTGGCAGAGGTGCTGGAAACCATCGTGAGTGGCTGCTTGGGGCCGGACGGGCGTCAGGTCTTGTATACGAAGCCCACCGGAGAGGTGCTGCTCAGTCGAGATGGAGGCCGCCTCCTGGAGGCGCTACATTTAGAGCATCCCATAGCCAGGTACCCGCGACCCGCCCTTCAGCCCTTTAGGACTTCTCCTTGCCAAGTACCCGCACCCCCATTCCAGCCATTAGTACATCCCACAACCAGGTATGCACGTACACACTGCAGTCCATCGCTGACTATTTGCCTCGATTTTTTTTTTGACCCTTGAGGCTATTGCTGGTAAAAACTATTGTTGTTCTTCCTGCGCCACCCAACCCCAGAATATTGAAATAGAACAAAGGGAAATCTAAGAAGATATCAGAGGGAAGCTATTGTGAAAACATTTTCAACATGATCCAGGTGTACAAAGGCAACCCACTGAAAATCTGAGTTACTTTCTTTTTTTATTGTACAGGATGATAGTGGCATGTGTTTCCAGTCATCTACGAAAAACAGGAGATGGTGCTAAAACATATATTATCTTTCTCTGCCATTTGCTCAGAGGACTTCATGCAGTCACAGACAAAGAAAAGGATTCTTTCACTTCTAAAAATATTCAAACCCATGGAAGATACTGGAAAAACTGTTGTCAGTGGAAACTCATTTCCCAAGCTTTTCTAACCTTTCAGACACAAATATTAGACTACATTATGGGCCAGTACTTAAGTAAACACTTTCTGTCTGTCTTTCCTTCATCCACTAAAGAGAGAGCATTGTGTAGGAGCTCTTTAACCTTGCTCTTAGATGCATATTTTTGTGGAAGAATAGGAAGAAATAATCAAAACTTTATTTCACAGTTGATGAATGACTACTTTTTCAAATGTATGGCTTGCGAGAGGCGGTTTGAAGAAGTATTTGAGTTAGTGGATGACAGTTTTGTAGAGTTGAACATTGGTGTCACTGGCCTTCCTGTTTCAGATTCCAGGATCATAGAGGGACTTGTGCTTCATAGAGACTTTGCTGTGTACTGTCCAGCAGATGGTGAAATGAGCATGGTGATAGTAACAGATACCATTCAACCTCTTTTTTCATCTTCTGGATCAGAATTTATCCTAAATTCAGAAGCTCAGTTTCAGACATCTCAATTTTGGATTACAGAAAGGACAAAAGCAATAATGAAACATTTACAGAATCAGAATGTGAAATTGCTCCTATCTAGTGTGAAACAACCAGACTTAGTTATTTACTATGCAAGACTGAATGGCATATCGGTGGTAGAATGTTTATCAGCTGAAGAAATTTCTCTAATCCAAAGGATCGTCGGTCTTTCTTCCTTTATATCACCACAGGACTCTTTACAATCTGAAATCTCTAGCCCTGCTTTGGTGAAATTTTGTAAGCCTCTTGTCATTAGATCTAAAAGGTATGTTCATCTTGGCTTGGTTAGCGTATGTTCATTTATACCACACTGTGTAGTTCTTTGTGGACCAGTGCAGGGTCTTGTTGAACAACATAAGGATGCTTTACATGGAGCTTTTAAAATGCTTCGGCAGTTATTTAAAGACCTTGATCTAAACTATGTGACACCAACTAGTGACCAAAATTATATATCAGGTCCTTTTACTTACAAGAATAGTAGAAAAAGTAATCAACTACCAGAAATTTTTAATGACTCGATACAAAGGTCAGATCAAAGTGTGATTGTAAAACAGGAAAATGAGCAGGCAAAAACTGAAACATACTTAAAAGTGTATTCAAATTTGGTAGGTCCCAGCGTAGAATTAAAAACATACACTCCTTGTTCAACACCAAAAGTGATACCAACAGATACTTTCCAGACTGATGAAACAGTGAGTTGTTTATCTCCAAACAAAACTAGGGTAATTGATGACTCTGAACCACTAACTCTTGCTAATTCAACAACAGAAAACACTAGAATTGAAACTTATGATGAGGATTTGAAGATCACAGAAACTGCTGTACAGGTAAGTATGTTATCAGTGAGCGATGAGTCACTGGATATGTGTTCTTCCCAGACTTACTGCTGCTCATCTATAGCGGCAGGTTGTGTTTTGCCAGTGGGTGGTAATTTTGAGATCTTGTTGCATTACTATCTTGCCAACTATGCCAAAAACTGCCAGCAATCAGAAGAAACTATGGTTGTTAGTAAGATGATAGCCAACGCACTCTTAAGCATTCCCAGAACCCTCTACAAGTCTAAGAAAAGAAGTAACAGCTTTCCACAAATATATGTCAGAGCTGTCTATGCACTGCAAACCAACCAACCCCTGGTCAGCAGCCACACAGGTTTGGAATCAGTCGCTTGTAAATACCAGTTAGTAACCTCAGTTCTTCAGTGTTTGACAAAAATATTAACCATTGATCTGGTAATCAATATTAAGAGACAACCACCGAAAATTTATGATCAAGAGTCAGAAGATGAACTCTAAAATGGGAAATTTTTAAACCAGAGTTTAAATCCTATTCAAACAGTAAAATAAAACAGGCACGTGACCACTGATTCTCAAGTCAAGTGATTTTTCTTTCTTACGGCGTCTTGATTATTTCCATTTCATGTGGAAAAGCCTGGCCAAAAAAATTTTTTGCATTCTGAAATTAATGTCATTCTGAAAGTTAGTTCCAGAATATGAAATTTATATTTCAGCCTTCTCCTGTCTCCTGTGCTTGTAAAAATAATTGATGTATTTTCCAGGTTTTATTGTATTTGCATAGCCAGAATTCAATAATAAATAATTTGAGTTTTTTTCTTCGTAATGTGGATTTACAAGCGTTTGTATTTTATTTTAGAGGTTTATAAGTGTAAGTAATACTGAGTATCTAGCTATGGATAAAGACAGTATCTTGCTTTTAGTGATTCTCTGTAACACCCAATACAGGGCTGTTTATGCCACATCATCAAAGATGCTTGTTGAATGAAGTATTTAGTATCCTCCTAAATACTTTTTCCTGCTTACTAATTATTCCTACTTAGTGCACATTGTGTGGCAGATACTGAATATTGTGGCCAACAAGTCGATAGGTTCCTGCCTTCAAGTACCTTTTCTTGAAGAGGATGGATGTTACTACTTAGTTGCAATTAAATGTAGAAGAACTGATTAAAATGTAATAATAGTTATAATGATCTAATATACTTAAAAAACTAACATCTGGGCCCTTCCTGGTGGCAAAACAGGTTTAAAAAGCTATCCACAGCCAATGCAGCACGAGTTCAATCCCCAGCTAGGGAGGTGACCCACATGGTGCAGCAGACCTCTCCTGACCCGTCCGTTGCTCCCCTCAGCAGTGTACTTCAGTGGATCTGCCTGTTCTGTTCCCCACTCTGTCTGGTGAATCCTCTCATGTACCTCTGGCTTGTACCCCGGTTCTTGTATGCGTGAATAAATAAATTTTTAAAAAGCAAGCAAACAAGAACTAACATCTATCATGTAATATCTCCTGATCGTTTACATTAAATGTACTTCCATTTTATTTCTGTGAACATAGAATAAATGTTAAATTACATTGAATTCATAGATGAATGGATATACTATAAAATTAATATGTAATGTTTTCCATGCACTTTTCAAAAAATTTTCTGTTAGGTTATTTGATTTTTTGTGTGTGTTGTTTGAAATACTCCTCCATCATTGAAGGCATTGAAAGATTTTAGCACATATGGCCTGTTTGATTATGTAGGTGTTTTATAGCTACAGTCACTATTTCAGGAGCCCCTTTGTAAACTGGGCCTGTTTTTATATATTTGCTACCTTGTCTGATATGTGATACACTAAACCAGCCAACAAATATCTTTTGAAGGACTATGTACATTTAATTTTTAAAAAGCAAACTTAAAAATGGTGAAGCAGGTTTTGTGGGTTGTCTTTACACTAGCATAATTATTACCACTGAGTTAGATACAAGAGCACTTTAAAAATGCAGTTATGTTGTATTTAAACCTTTTATTTACAAAGGATTTGAGGTGACCTGCAACAAGAAGGAATTACAGTAAAAATTCTGACTAGAAATTGAAGACCAAGGAAAAGGAAAAGTCACTAACAGAGAAGACTATGCTTTTGAATCCTTACTAAACTTGAATGAAACTTACTAAATTTGAATTCTCTATTATATATCTTACGGTTCTGGGAGTTCCCTGGATTACCTGGCAACTTCCACTGTATTCTGTTGGTTGACACAATAATAAAGTTCAACTGAAGTAAAAGGTGAAGGAACACTGCCCCTAACACCCAAGGAAGAATGCCATTGTCACATTATGCGGAGATGTGGGGTTGTTACAGGGCAGAGAGAGGGGCACCACTGAACCCCAAACCTGCCTGCTCTAAATAGTTTCTGCCATTCACCGCATCAAGACATGTAAGACTTTAATGAAAAGGAACTTTAATACAGTATGTATACAACACAGAAGACAAAGAATATATAATTTCTAAATCAGACACCTGAAGTTACCCATCCCCTCGTGGGCAAAAGTCCACCCAAAAGGGATTGGTCCAAAGCAAGGCCTGAAAGCTGCCACAAGACTAAATCACCTTCTGGCTGGGATCCATGGGAAAGGGCCAGGAATGGCCAGGTAAGTCTGGGAGGAAAAGAGCACAATGGAAATCAATATAAACACTGCCATAGTCAACCTCCCATGGGTCTCTCACCCACATCTCTTTCAACCAGTCCAGGGCCAAGAAATAAACACGGTTTCTTCACATGTCTCCCTTTGCTCCATGTGGCTTCCTCAGGTCTCCTGGCTCTCCATCCTGCTTCCTCCAGATTCCTTCTCTCCTCTGCTTTTTTTCTCTTCTCAGCTCCACCCTCCTGGGTGGGACAGGGAACCTGGAACTTCCCTTTTCCTGGGGACCACCCTGTTACAGGATGAGATATATTTGAAAAATAAACTGCTATCCGTGGAAGCAAAAAAGGACCAATAAGCATGAACTTCTCAACGGAGTTTTTTATTTTCTAAAATTGCAAGTCAAAAACACATTTCCCAATAATCTTTATGAACTTCCGTATTTGTTCACCTTACGCTGACGCATCATTTTTATACCCCAAACCAAAGGCATTATATAGTTGAACTACTTTAGTCAAAGGACCTATTTATTCATGTTTTACTAGTGCTATTATGGTATCCATGTTTCTGCTAAAAGGCAGAAGAGTAGTACAACTTGAGCCTGAACTTTTTCTGAATTTTATACAGTTTGAATTAATTTTTGTGTATGGAGTTAAATAATGATCTAGTTTCACGTTATTGCATGTGGTTGTCCAGGTTCCTCAACATTATTTGCTAAAGAGGCTTTCCTTTCTCCAGTTTATGGTCATGACTTCTTTGTCAAAGATTAACTGTTCAGATTGGGTTTATATTCGAGTTCTGTATTCCATTGGTCTGTGTTTCTGTGTTTCTTTCCAATACCATACTATTTAGATTACTATTACTGGGTTGTATAGTTTGAAGTCAGGGATTGTGGTAACTCCATATTTCTTTTACTATAATATTGGCTATTCAGTATCTTTTGTAGTTCCATACAATTGTTACAATTATTTGTTTTATTTCCTTGTTTTATTTTGATAGATACTGCATTGAAATCTGTAAGTTGCTGTAGATAATATGGCAATTTGAACAATGTTTATTCTTCCAGTCCATGAGCATAGGATATCTTTCCATTTCTTTGTGTAATATTTCCTTTGACAATGTCTTAATATTTGGTGTATAGGTCCTTAACCTCCTTTGTTAAGTTTAACTAGGTCTTTCATACTTTTTGGTGCAGTTGTATTGAGATTTTCTTCTTAATTTCTTTTGGTATCCTGGTCTACTTTCTCCAGCAGCTGAGTTCTTGAGAATTCCAAAATCAGATGTTGATGAAAACGAAACAGATAGTATTCTGTTATATAAGCATATAATGGTTTCTGTATTTTTTAAAAAATGGGAAAGAATACAACATACAACTGCACACAATACTGTAAATGAATCTCTCAAAAAAAAAAAAATCAGGTCCAAAAGTGCATACTCTTATGACTCCATTTATATGATGTAAAAAATATGGCAGAATTAGTCAGTGCTATTGGAGGTCATCATAGCAATTGCCTCTGAGTGACTAGGGGCACTAATGACTGAAAGACAGCTCGATGTGAATTTTTGTATATGAATAATGCCCTCTTTCTTGATCTGGGAGTTGATTACATGTTATACCTAAATAAAAATTTTAATTAAAAATAAATATGTGGATCAATTATAGGAGACATGTGCCCTAAAACAAAAGATTAGAACTTTAGTCCACACTTTCAACATAATCACAGATTTCTCTAATAGGCAATAGATACTGTCACAGAACTGTCCTAAGAAACTCAACTCCTTTAAGCAGGGGCTGTAGGAGGTAAATTTCAGTAACAGCTTGAGAAGCAAAGAAACAAAACAAGTCAAGGAGGGGGCATTATCAGAGTGCAGTCCTTCCCCCCCCCCCCACCTTCTCTTGATAAGGTTTGGAGTTTTGCATAATTCCAGCTACTTAAAAACTGACTCAAACATTGCTATAAATGTAAATGTTTAGGCATAGAGGATTTTTGTAGGGTATAGAAGTTGGAAATTTTATTCTCTAGTAGTATTCCTGATGCTTTCTCTATGAACAAATTTAACTCACAATTCTATGCAATTGTTTTTTTTTTTTTTTTTTTGCCAGAGGCTCTGGGGGAGCAAAAAGACAGTGCTTGACTTCAATAAGCTGCTTACTGTAAGAGAGATACCCTGTATATGTGACATTGAATGGGGACTTGGGGGCATGCTGATTTAATGCAGCTAGGGCACATGAGATAAACTTACTGAGTGAGAAAAGACAGGGAAAGCTTACCAAAAAGATAAACTTGAAATGGAACTTGAAGGAAGAATTTAAAGGAATCAGGTAGATTTGGTAATGTTAGGAGAAATTTCAGCAGAGAGATTAATAGTGCATTCACAGATTTGAAGGTAATCAGCACAGGAGGGATTTGATTGAAACGGCCTTGTGGCTCAGTCTCAGAAGACACACTCAGAACCAATTCAGCATTAAAAGTAATTCAAATCTCTACTGGAATCTCAAAAGATCTCTCCAGTTTGTAATCCTTAGCCTCACTTAAGAAATTCTTTTCTACATTGCTTAAAATTCTCTCATGGTTTGGCAAAAAGTTTTATATACAGGGCCCGGTAGTAAATATTTTGGGCTTTGTGGGCCAAATAGTCTTTGTCACAACTTCTCATCTCTGCAGTTGAGCACTAATACAATAGACAATAAGCAAGTAGTGGATGAGGCCGTGTTTTAATAAAACTTTATAATAAGAGATGGCAGGTGGGGTTTGGGCTGGAGGTCATAAGTTGCTGAACCCTGACAGACTCACCCAATACTTCACAAACAGCCTCTCATCCCATGTGTGACCTTTTCAGTTTTCTCTCTCCTACAATCCTTGAGTATCTCGTAAATTTTGTTAGTCAAGATGTCAGGTCCTGTTCTATGATAGGAATGAGGGTCAATAAATAGATAAAGAACTCCAGACATAGTGGGGAACCACAGACTAACTCTAATCAGGTAGAATAAATCAACCCAAGTGATAGTTTAAGAAAATGTATCTATAAGTACTGTACAGGTGGATTATCATTAGTAGAACAGGAGCAGTGAGACCAATTAGGAGGTTATTGCAAAGAAATTATGCAATAAATGTGAAGTCTAAACTAGAATGTCAGTTGGGAATGGAAAGAAGAGGTGGGGTTGGAACAAAATATGATTCAAAGATCTGGAATAAATGGAGGAAAGAGTCAAAAACAACTATTGAGATACAGAGACTGAGTAAGTAGGAAAATATCCGTCATTTTTAGTCACTTCTTTTGTAACTTCTTGTGTCAAAAATATCAGTGTTCCTTGGTTCTTATTTTTGTTTACCTTTGCTATTCCCTTCCTCCCTTTCCTTCCACCTTGCCTCTCCTCTCCCATCAACTATGCTTCTCTTTCTCCCCCCTTGCATTTCATACCCCCACCCCATAAAATTACCCTGGGCAACATGATTCAAATTCCTGACATGCACTATGGCTTTTTTCTTCTGATGATTTCTAGGAATATTATCTGTCCCAAATGTCTCTGGTGACATGAGCCAACACCCTAGTTAGTGTTTTCAGGAAGATTGACAGACCCTCCACCCAGGCCCGGTTGAAGTTGGTTTTCAAAGTCTGCAGCTATAAAAAGGGTT